ACAAATTCGAGTTCTTGTCCGAGTACAAATCTGGAGACCCCCAGAGAGGTATTGCTTTCGTACCAAAGCGCGGCGTCAACGTATGTCTTCCATCACTGTCCATTCCCCTGGCCACCTTGCTAATCATTCTTTAGCTCCAAGAAAACGAAATTATGCGTGCGTACAAGACCGTCAACGATTCGTACATCGAACCTATCTCCTTCACCGTTCCCCGTCGGGCGGAGACTTTCCAGTCTGATATCTTCCCGCCATGCACTGGCTCCAAGCCTGGCGTCTCTGCCTCTGAGTGGCTTTCGGGCAAGACCGCACTTCCCCCTAAGATCGATATGGAGGACGTATACGAAGGCAATGCGCCCAAAGAGGTTGCAGCCGACTACAAGCCTCCAACTCCTGCTCCGGCTCCTACTCCCGCACCGGCTGCGAAGCCCGCGCCCAAGGAGCCTGAGCCAACGCCCGCTGCTCGCACACCAGCACCCTCCATGGCACAGCAGAAGGGCTCCATGGCCGCCGCCGCATCCAAGTTCCAGGATAACGACGAGGATGACGATGACGATGCGGAGACCTCAAGCTTTGAAGAGGTGCAGAAGCCCGCAGCAAAAGCCCTGCCCCTCCGCTCAGAACCCGCCAAACCAGCCGAGCCCATCAAGAGCAGCACACCAACTCCCGCGGCATCACAATCCAAGGCCGCCCCCTCTCCCATCAAGGCCAGCCCACCCGCCGCCGCGGCAGCCGCATCCCACTCATCCCCTGCCTTGTCGCCATCTGTTGAGACCTCCCTGGAGCAAATTAAGCAACTTATCGAGGCGCAGTCCAAGATCCTCGCCGCACAGGGTGGCCAACTGCAGAAGCAGAACGAGGCAATTGGCCATCTCACGGGCGAGGTCGAGACGCTCAAGAAGCGCGTGGTTTCGGCTGGTAGCGAAGGCCAGAGTGAGAGGATCCGACAGCTGGAGCTGGAGCTGGAAGAGGCGCGATCTTAATAAGAGGACGGCTGCTGAGTTTCAAGGTGTTTGTGGAGTGCCAACAAAAAGTCGCGAGAATGGATACCTTGTAGAAGCCCCTTCTTATGTGTACTTGTACGTAGCAGCCTGAGATTCGGCATAAGAGCAATTGAAAAGATTTGAGTCAAATATGTTGTGTCGCTACATGCTACCGAGTCCACAGTGTTGCAGTACAAGCTGTAAACGCAAATGCCCAATGTCATTCAGAGTTTCATTCTTGAATTTTTCGTCTTCCTTGAACAGACCATCGTTCTTCCTCCTTTAACAACAACCAATAATAACGATAAACAGCGGTCACCAGTGCTACTTATCCGTACGGATTAAGAGTCAACCGACATTGATCAATCAGTCGAGAGACTCTTAGATTAAGGAGGTTATAAAAGCCGTCTGTAGATGCCCACAGGCGCATAAGCACTGGCGATGGTGTAAAAGACGTCCGTAGATGGCTACGGGCGCGAAAGCTACTATAAAATGTGGCGAAGCCATCTGTGGATGTCCACAGGTGCATTTTCGAGCGTAGAACTTCTTTGTTACGCCAGTCTGAACCTTCTTCCTGCCTTCGTTTGTGCCAGATACCTAGGTAGTAAGCAAAGGGTTGCACCCCAAGCTCCAGAGGGTTTTACCAAATCTTCCTGCTCGACTCCAAGTCTGACCAACTTTTCGATCAAATCATCCCAGAGGCCAGTGACATCGCTGTTGTTGCACGCCCAGCCAGGCTCTGTACGATTGAGGAACGCGTCGGTAGGCTCGCTCGACCTCTGCCCGGAGTTAGCAAGACACTGCTCCCGGAAAAGAATGAGAGCTGTTCTTGTGGAGTCCGTCACGGTACTATTGTCCAACAGAACATCGAAGAAAGACAAGCCTTCGCTGTAGAGGCTTTCGAGACCGAGGGGTCGCAGCACCGCTTTGATCTGTTGCTCAGTGGTGCGCGAGTTAGCACTAGACACGTCAAGGATCTCATCTTCCTCGTCAAGGGCATCATTGAGGTCTTTTCCATGGTCAATACTGTTCCTGGCATCGGCAAGGTAAGGGGTATTATCATGGGCCTTCGACTCAATATCGTCAACATCACCATAATCATCATCATCCCGATCATAATCATCATCATCCACATCGGACAAGCTGAACTTGGCTTTCTTGTTCGCAGAAGACTTGTGTGTGCCAGCACTGGATCGCTTGCCGGAATTCTTCTCAATACCAACAGAGGCCTTTTGAACGCAGCTTTGAATGCGGGTGCCATGATGATTGCTTTTTGGAGTAAAGTGCCACAGATAGAGAAAATCTTTGAATATAAGAGACAGGCTCGAACTGGAATTTCGAAAGTCAAGGCTGTTAATTTTCAAAAGTCGTTGGCTCTGTGACGCTGCAGGAGAGTAGAAAGGCACCTTCAACCCCCCCACCCCAGACTTCTCAAGCTGTGGTGGTCGAGGCGTACACAGCGTTCCTTCCTCATATAGATCAGGAAGGAGGTGTCAAGGCAGTCATCCTGGTTCGCCGTGGCTAGAGAGTCATCTACCCGCGTGATCAAATTGCGTGAGAAAATGGATTGGGGCTTGTAAACTATAGAGATAGCTGGACACAACTTCATTCCCACTTATTCAACACCTGGGGCTGAATGATCACTCCACAGATCTCGTCGAACAAGAGATAGAAAACACATAGGTAGCTACGGGCGTATCAAGATGTCAGCGGAGCAGGGTTGTTGGCTATCTGGGAAGGTACCTACCTTACAGAGATGCACACCTGGGTAGGTAGGTAGGAAATGCCAATTGCTACCGACCTGTACTTGATATTTGAGGCGTACAGAATTGTAGAGTATCGTGATCGAATATTATGCCAATTCTTTATCTCTAGTGAGGCTGATTATTGAGCATGATTTGACATTTGCTCCTTAGACACTGAGCTGTAACGGTGCAGTAAGTGGCACTGCCAACTCACGTAGTCCTTGGGTAGTCCTTTAGCCAGCCCCTGTCCAACTCCGGATTGGCCGCCTGGTGACAGTATACCCTAGCACAGGTATAAATACCTAAAGATTTGATGACGCTTCCCTCGTCTCTTCTTTTCTTTTCTCTTCTCAACCGAAGGCACTTCACGGTACGTATACCTGCTCCTTGATTTTTCAACGGATTGGCCACGCGACAACACATGAATATATATATATTTTCATTCTGCTAATCCACTGCCCTCAAACTACACTGCTCCTAGAGGACTCAACCCATTTCTCTAACCTATTTCCTTGCATTGAAATCTGCCAAGCTTCCAGCATTTGGTCTGATTGGGATCGACTGTTCTTCACCTACAAACATCATTTGTTTCTGCACAGCATTACAGCCTTGCTCTACCATAATTGTTGCTGACTATGCGTGTCCTCAGATTATCACAAAATTTTCATCTTTAATTGTGAGTATTGAATCACTAGTTATGCAAACCTGAGATGCACAAGCTGAAAAGCTATGATAGTACCCACAATGCCTCGCACCACGGAGATCAGTAAGTCCTTAGCTCCTGCTCTCTGGCCTTCGAGTACTTATCAGATATGAGTAGAGTTGAAGTCAGCCGACGGCACCGAGATGACCGCCCGGGTCGATCACGGGCAGCTGATGGCCCTCGCCGGCCAGATGCTGCGGGCTCCTGCGCCCGGCACCAAACGTGTACGTGTCTCCTGAACGACTCACTAGCATACAATCTAACATGCATGCTAGAAACGAGACGACGAGTTGGAGACGGAGCAGGTAAGCATATATACCACCGGAGAATTTTATTCGCCATGCTCATGCGTCACCACCTGGTGTGTACTGACATACTTGAAGCCGAAGAAGAAGGCTGCCACAGTCCCCGGCCCGCCCGGCCCTCCAGGCCCTCCCGTAAGTTCGAATTGTGCCAAACAACTTTGACCTACACTACTAAGAATATATGTTTAGGGCCAAGGAAGATCCGCCGGCGCGAGGCAGCGCCGCAAGCGCCGCGAGCGTGCTGCTGCTGCTGCTGCTGCTGCCACCGCCGCGACCACCACCACCACCACCACCACCACCGACTCCAACGCCGACCAAGTGAAGGCAGAGGCCGAGGACACCACCACCACCACCACCACCACCGACGCCAACGCCGACCAAGTGAAGGCAGAGGCCGAGGACACCACCACCACCACCACCACCACCACCACCACCACCGACGCCAACGCCGACCAAGTGAAGGCAGAGGCCGAGGACACCACCACCACCACCACCACCACCGACGCCACACTCCCGCTCCGGCCCGGCGCTGCCGCCTCCGCCTCTGCCTCGGCTCCGGGCGCCTGGACCGCCGACGACCAGGAATGGCTGGACGGGGCCATGCAAAGTTTGTTTGGGGAGGGGGACGGTTGTGAGGGTTAGAATAGCCGGAGGGCCGATAATACTCAAAAAATATCATTAGCTCTGGGTGCTCTCGCACTGTTGTGCGCATTCCTTGAGGACGCAAATCAATTTCTATTGCACCCTGAAATACTCCAGGAACTATCTCCAACCGAATAATGATCATGCAGGACAGTAATACTCGAAGCTTGTTCTAGTAAGACTGCCCAGCCTTCAAGGTTCCCCTATGTTCCCCTGACTAGAAGTGATAAAAGCGCGCGTACGTGCTGTTGTTTCCGCGGGATCATCAAGGCAGTATTGGTAAATCTTCTGTAGCTTCTCTTCAGCAACGAAAATCCCAGCTCCAGCCTTCAATGTGCCCCGATGCTGTCTAGAAAGCAAAATGAGACTCTCCAACAAGTTTCCTCTGCCTTGTGAATTGCCGGAAAGAAACCTGCAACTCACTTCTATTTCGTCGTGCAAACTATTATATTTGTCACTCTTGTCAAACAATCTGTGACATGACCATGGTAGCGGGGGTGTAGAGTCACGGGTATATATACCCACAAAACCATCAGCTAACAACTCGGATTCGATCCGGCCTCGTGTAAGTTAGCTCAACGGTACTGGCGATTCACTTCAAAAACAACGAAACTAATCCTTAATAGGGCCTAATGGTTAAGGCGTTGCATTTCGGTTCAGACCACTGCAAAGATTGGGAGTTCGACTCTTCCCGGGGTCGATATATTTTTTCGTTTTCCTTTTTGATTCCCCTTCATCGAATATCACGAGGTTGAATTGTGGGTGTCTGTATTAGTGTGCTGGCTGGCGGGCTGCCAAGGGTTAGGGTAATCCGACCCCCATGCATATGTACCCAGACAGCCAGAACCCTCGGTAGGTAGGTACATACCTACCTACCCACGCCTGCCACGGTACGTACCTAGGCCTTGACGGCGAATATACTACTACTACGAAATCTCAAACTTTGTTATTCAATGCAAATATGGCAACTCTTGCAGTAAATCGTGTCAGGGTATAGAGGAAATGAGGCTCACTCAGTCTTTGACAACCCGAATCGCTCGGACATGACATGATTAGCTGAAGCATTCTTTGCATCTCACGCAGAGAAAAGATGAAAGTGCAGCCGGCACCTTGCGCAACAAGAAAATATCAACACATGTATTGCTTCGTATACTGTATTCAGATAAGGGAACGCAAAAGTAGAAAAGTTAATACAACAGCGTCCCCGGGAAGAGTCGAACTCCCAATCTTTGCAGTGGTCTGTATCGTCTACATAGTAGCAGAGTACCTAGGCAAGGCTGACAATCAATCAGTGACAGGGGTATCCGTCCATGAACAGAACAGGGTACTATGCGAAAGTTGTAAGTCCATCCCGACCGATAAGGCCAGTATGAAAAGGGCGTGACATGTGCAGGAGATGGAAAGTCCATCATGATAACAGGGAAGATGCGAACATGTTCATTATGCTTGTGGGTTGAAGAATGTGGTCGCATGGTCAGTAAGTATAATCGGTATTCTGGTTGCTGCAGGTCAGACGGCCCGAGGCGGCTGACCTCTCACCAGTCACGATGCCCTAGCAGCCCCTACACCAGTGATAGTGCCTGGAACAGCACACCCACCACATGCTACTAGCACGAGATAGACTTCATCAAGACGATATGTCTATGGGGTTCGGATTGTAGGTCCTCGATCATAATATAAAATGTGTGAACCACCCTGCGCCTTGAATGGCAAATGTGCCTCCGATTATAATTCCCGAATAGAGCACATGTCCGTCACCTCTTTCTAAGTTGCAGAGAGAAAACAACACTACCTCCCCCTTTTCAGTATTTCACACTATCAATATCATAATGCCTAGTTGGAAGATGTTTGGATCCGGGCCGTCAGACACGACCCCCCTCCTCTCGGACGTCGCATCTGATGACTCGGCCCTCAACTCGCCCTCAAGTTCGAGCAACTCGCCTCTTAGCCCCGGGACAATCCAAGATAACATTGACAAGGCAGTCGAAATGAGGAGAGGGCTCAATGATGGACCGGCCTGGTCAGATCCCTTGGGTCGCCCAGCGCGTGACGAAAACGACGAGCATCTTCGCATGTTCCGCCGGGCGGTAGGTATCACCACCGAACTTGACCATACCTTCGATCACGGCCCGCATGGTTCCATTGGCATCTATCAGTCTATCGTTGAGCAGGAGCGCCGAAAACGGATCATGCACCACACGCTGAGCGGCATGGTTTGGGGCTGTCATGGAATACAGATCGTGCTTGGAGCTACCTTGACATGCCTCGGATTAAGCACCAACGAGTACCCAATCACTGTTACCATTTTGGGAGCCGTGAACACAGTCACTGCCAGTTTCCTGACACTGGTCAAGGGCAAAGGAATCACTGAGAAATTAGGCAAGACGGAAGCCGATTTCCGAACGCTGAAAGTGTGGATCGAGGAGACAGAATCGTTACTGGCTCTGGGAATCATTGGTGGTGACAGGAAGGAAGTCGGCTTGTTGATCGAGACCGCTTTCAGACGGTACAATGCTGCATTTGGGCGGTCATTTGATATTGAAACCGGCATCGACAGAGATGTTGACAATTTGAGCACTATGGACGCGGAGCGAAGCGGGCCGGATCACGAGTGAAGGAAGTGCGGTGTAAGGCAAGAGAGGATGTTTACAATGTGCATTTTGCAAACTGTTGGATAGACTTAGAAGGATACTCACGGTGTTCCGGTAAATATTGGGTTCGTCCGTTTGATTTTTTGATTCACGGTGAGGAACGCTCTGGAGGAACACAATGTGAGCAGGGACCTACTGATCCATGGTTGACGTGTTCTGAAGAACAAAGTTGCGCATATGCATCTGAGTCGTACGAGGAGAACTGTACAGCTATTACTCTGGCCTAAAGTTGTAGTAAGTAGAGAAGCACAATTTATTGGAGGAAACGTGGTCATAAACCACTTCAAAAAGCTTAAGATAATTTCTCTTCTGAACGCATACATAGTAAGCACGTTCCTGCACGAGTAAGTATATCTAGAGAACTCATTCTAGCCTCACGACTGAAGCAAACGTCGTCATCGTATTTTGTGAATGAATTGAAGACCATATTGATCAAGCTTTCAATCTTGAGTAGTGCACATGTAATCTCACGGTTCGCACTGTTTTGGCTGTTGGCCTCCATCCTCACCAATCGACAGCTCTGCGCTGGGTCCGAAAGAGAATCATTTGGTCTATTGATCTGGGGCCGTAACATGAGGAACGTCTTTTGTCCCTGCCCAGGTGATAGCCAGGTGATCGAACATTTGAAATTCCTTACTCTTGGCCAACCCTCTATCTCCAGTAACAAGGTTGACCGCCGCCACCTTCGTATTGTTCCGGCTCTCGTTGATCTTGTAGACATCTTGCAATATAATCAATGATCTAAAACTGTTGCAAGATCAACGAGGAGTTGACCACATATTTTGCGGTGGGTACATTCGCAAAAACCGTCAAGCTCAAAGTGAATACGACCACCAAGCTGACGACAGCGAAAACGGCCGGGAGCCGACCAGGATGGGCTTCATCGTATCGCCGGATTGGCGACGTGATGGTCGCTACTGGAGCAATGATGAAGATTCGCAGCAAGATGACTGGCCATCGTATCCAAACGGTTTTCTCTTTGGACGTCGAATTTGTGAAGTTTGAGTTGTCTCCAAGAAGCGGGGTGGTTTCGTCGAAGATTATTCCTTCTTCGGAATCTCTCGTGATACTTCTATATGGCGATGTCGGGATCTCCCTAGTCCTCCCTTTCGTTCGACTCCCTTGAAATGCATTGTGCTTTAGCAGACCGCCTCATCGTATCTCATATCGAGAAGCAGGAGTCTTGAGTCCAAAATTTGACACTTACACATACTAGGCTTGTGCCAGGAAAGCCCTTAGCCCTGTGTCACCAATTGGTGACGGGGTCTATATTGTGGAGGACTGAGAATCGGCAGAGCGATGGGAGGATTCAAAGGATCCAACAGTAATACCTCAACTTGCGTGACCATAGAAAGCATAACGAGTGCTCAGTCCGACAACAATCAGAGTTGACAGTTTTCATGCATGAACGTTTTTGCGTAGCGTGAGGAATGACCGCCACGTGGCCCTACCCATTTGGTTTCAGAGGTCTATTTATGCCAACTGATCACTTGGTCAATGCAAAGACTGTGAATATTTCATTTTCAACTTCGCCATTGAACCTGTGCTGCCATTCGTCAGATTTATTACTATAGGCTCTGTACCTAGTTCGTCAATGTAGGAACCAAACCTGTCCGCATATACCATGTCACGGGCATTCATGAACTTGGTCAAGAGAAACCCATGGCGAATATTGAAAACGAAGGCCCATCACTGGTCAGTTGCCAGTATCAAGGCTTGAGGCAGTCGAGTCTTTGTGAACGGAGGGCACGCATTCCCGCCCGGGGAACAGGTCGTAAGAGATCCTGCTGGTATAGAACAAGGTAGAAGAGCCGGTGCTTTATTCGAATAATGAAGATGTAAAAACATTCTTTAGTTGACAGCCAGATAGTTTGAGAAGCAGATGAAGCGGCTGGGTGCTGTACACTCAGCTAGATCGAGCATTGCGAAAGTTTGATAGACACCCCAGAATTTCGCCTGTTTTAACTGTCTGAACCTCAAACGACAGTTTACTACTTCGTAAATCTGGGAAGCAAACACGATTTGGGCCTGGTCTGTTGTCGGGTTAAGAAGGTGTAAAGTACGTTGTCGCTCTCTTCGTGGTTGATTTACACAAGTCCGGCATTTGGTGCTGTTTGGCGCAACTAGGTACTTTGTGACCTAGATAACCTTGTAACGGTGACATTATCAGTGGCTTCAATTTGATTGTATTCATTGCTTATCCCATATGTCCATCAATAAAGCACGCTCTATGTGTGACGTCTCTGTATACATTATACAAGCATGTACCTCCAGATGACTCGGGGCTTTTGACTGTCGCGAAGTAGCCAGATGCACTTGAGCCATTAGCACGGCCTGAAGTAATATATGAGATCCTTTTGATGCACACCTACCAACATAGGTAGGTATGTTGAATCCTCCTCCCCCATGAGAGAATACTACTACTTGATACCTAGGTACTCTCTCGGCTCGCCTCACCTTGCCACGATCAGAGTTCCTTGGATTATATCCGGTAAAAAAATAAAAAAGTTTCGAGACATTGCAAAGCCATGTGATTGATTTTATGTAAACACTCAAAATTCTGACCTGGTGATATTTGTGTTGTCAGCTTTGAAATTGAAATCAAGTGGATTATATAACCCCACCTGCGACCCGGGGGGGGGGGGTTGCACAATAGGTTCCATATGAACAGGCTCCTATGCCATAGCTTGGCTACTGTACACTGAAATTCCTCGTCGCAAGACCTATTTTTTCTGCTACCGAAAAATGCCTTACCGTTTGGCATGGCTTGAAGTCTGGTATATGGGCATCCTACAGTATCCCTGAAGAGGGTGAGAGGCTGGAGTGGGGGGGGGGGGCGGCAAAGGACGATCCGTGTACCTAGGTAGGTACCTAGGTATAGTTCACTTTCCACAAAAATACATAGCGACGAGTTACAACCCAAAAGCCAACAGATTCAATACGCACATATACAGCAATACCGTCAAAATTATAATATCAACCTCCTACTTACCTCGTGAATCTGGAGGCTTGCCTGCTCGCTCTCGCTCCAATCTACTCCTCTGGGGTT